AGCGGGTGGAGGGAGAAGGCTCAATCCGAATTGCTGGGGCCCCACTCCGGATCGCCTTCAGCCGCCATCTTGTTTCTTCCCTCTCGCTCGGTGACTGGGGGAACCGACAGCGGCCGCAGGCCCAGAGCGCGGTCACGTGAGCTGCGCAGCCGACGAGCCTGGGACGGAGCAAGGCCGCGCGGCGGCCGCTAGAGGGAGCGCGGGAGCGCCGAGTCGCGGGCGAGAAGCCGGGGCGCCTCGGCGCGACGGGGTGGACCCGCGGGCTGTCGCGGCGTGGGGGACAGGGGCGCTCCCCTCGAGAAAGGAGCCCCGCAGAAAGGTGTCGCGAGCTGAAAGCTTCTGCGGAGTCCGCAACGGAGCCCGAACTCGGCAGGGCCCCCCTCCCGGGTCTCCCCTCCCCGGCTCGGAGAGGAGGGCAAGGGAGCCCCAAAATTCATACTGCATGTCGCCCCCTTGGGGAAAATGATGCTGAGAAAGCCAGACAGAGTGTCACGAAGCGGGCGGCCCGAGCGACAGAGGGGGGCCGGGTAGCCCCAGCGACCGGGTGAAATTAACTTGGGGCGGGAGGGCGATCCCCCAGAAATGTGAAACTCCGAAGGCTTTTTTCTAGAGTCCTGAAATTGATCCAATGACAACCGCTCCGAGGCTGTGCCAGGAAACGCCCTGGGCTGCCAGACCCCAAGGGAGAGTCACTCGGAGACTTGTTGCCCCCGAGAAACTCCAGAAGGCAACTATATTCCAGTTTCCTACACCTTTCCCAAGGAGCTCTGGTGGTTCAGTGGTTAAGTGCTTGGCTACTAACTGTAAAGGTTGGCGGTTTGAACGCACAAGCCTGCTCCGAGGGAACCTTGGCTTATGGGGCAGTTGTACCCTGTCTTGTAGTGTTGCTATGAGTCGGACTCTACTGGATGGCAGGGTTTGGTTTTTTTGTTTTTACACTTTTCCCCGTGTCCCAGCTAGGAACTTGACCACCTCAGCAAGAACTTTTCCTATTTCTCGTTTGCAACATAAAGAGTGACTCCCTTTCCAAAACCTGCTTCAAAAATATTTTTGTATTCTAGAGAAATAATGTATTTACCTGACAAGTCAGTCGGTCTCAGCTTTGCCTAGGGTAGGAGTCATGATGATGTAATTTCGGGCACTGCAGACCAAATCAGAGAGACTTAACCCAGGTTGGCCGAGGTCAGCTCTGAGGTTAAGGGTAAGGTTTTATAAACACAAATGAGTATTTATTAAAATAGGAAACATCAAAGAAGTGATTTAAAGAAAAATAGTTAAGATAGTAGACAAGTGTTCACTTTGGTAAAGGGAAAGACAACAAACAATGTAGGGGAAGTCAGCACAACTTGACCAAGACAAAGGAAGACACTTAGAAGAACACAAGGGGGAAAAAAAAAAAAGCAACTGCAGTAGATACTATAGCATATACAACCCCACAACAACAGTAAAAACAAATAGTAACTTACAAGCAGATACATAGACAGATACCTATCCTGAATAGGGGAAGGCAGGCGTGTAGGACTAAATCCATGTACGTATATAGGTTAGCCTGTGGATGTTTTTACATACATATTTGTATGTACAGCATAGCATGTATATTCATATATATAATAGAGCACAAAGGGAGCACAGTCATAGAAGCTTCCTAGACACATCCAAATACCTTGTGGGACCGAGTTACTGGGGCTGAGGGCTGGGGACCATGGTCTTGGGGAACATCTAGGTCAATTGGCATAACACAGTTCATAAAGAAACTGTTCTACGTCTTACTTTGCTGAGCAGTATCTAGGGTCTTAAAAGCTTACCAGTAGCCATCTAAGATACATCTATTGGTCCCATCCCATTCGGAGGAAAGGAGAATGAAGAAAACCAAAGATACAAGGAAAATAATAATCCAAAGGACTAATGGACCACATGAACCACAGCCTCCACCAGCCTAAGCCCAGAAGAATCAGATGGTGCTCGGCTACCACCACTGATAGCTGTGACAGGGATCACAATAGAGGGTCCCAGACAGCGGGAGAAAAATGTAGAACAAAATTCCAATTCACAAAGAAGACCAGACTTAACTAGTCTGACAGAGACTGAAGGAACCCCCAAGACTATGGCTCCCTGACATCCTTCTAACTCAGAACTGAATCCACTTCTGAAGTTCACTTTTCAGCCAAAGATTAGACAGGCCTATAAAACAAACAAAACACATGTGAGGAACATGCTTCTTAATCAAGTATACGAGACCAAATGGGCAACACCTGCCCAAAAGCAAAACGAGAAAGTAGGAAGGGACAGGAAAACTGGACACATGGAAATGGGGAGCCTGGGGTGGAAAGAGGGAGAGCACTGGCACATTGCGGGGATTGCAACCGATGTCATGAAACAATTTGTGTATAACTTTTTGAATGAGAAACTAATTTGCTCTGTAAACTTTCACCTAAAGCACAATAAAATAAATAAGAAAAATAGTTAACAGTATTCTGGCCACCAAATACCTTACAATCCAAGTAAAAAGATAGAACACATATGTGAAACGAAAATTAAAGATATGCAAGTGCTAATTGCCAAATTAATTTATTCAACACAGTTTTGTTGAGCACCAAGTGTCACAAACTTACTTGCCTTCAATGATCAGGTAAGTAATGAAAGTAAATGAAGTGGGCAGGGTAAGGCCTTTGGAAAACTGAGTACCCAGGTTTTGTCTAAAGAGAGCAGCTACACAAATATAGGCCTAAAATGGCCAGGTCTTCAACTTTTTCAAGAGAAGGTGCGAATGTGTATTACATATGGAAACTCTTGATTTGTAAATATTGGCAACTAAGTTAATTTTTTAAAAAACACTTCAAACTGATCAAAATATATTAGATCAGATACAGCACTTGGAATTTTTAGTTACAAGCAACAGAAATCAACTCTGGCTCATTTAAAAGGAAAAGAAAAAGAATCCATGAGAAAGATACAAGCACCTCCAGAATTGCTGGTTCCAAAAGTGAATGGAATCCAGGCTCTCAAGCTATTGTCTTCCAGTTGGCTCTGTAGCCAAGCGAGTGTTCCGTGGGCCATTCTACTGTTCTGTAAAGCCAGCTGCTTCTGGTTGTTTGGAGTGTATGATAAGGCTAGTGAATCTAATAGCATAGCCAATTTCTTCTTTCATTGTAAAGTTAGTTTCCTGCTTGATACCATGGTGTGGAAGATACCGTAATGGTAAATAAGGTACTTAGTAAATCCCTGTAGGGTGATGATGGTGGTAAAACATGGCTGGCGGGGAAAGCAAATCCAAGTTCATTATAACCTTCTCCCCAATTAAGTTAACTCACTGTCCCCTCCATGACAGAGTCCATTATGATGACTCCTTCCAGCATGGGCACTCAGCTATGGCAATAGCCAGGTCAACTTTGCAAAGGGGAAGCACATGTTGAACCCATTATAACCTTGGTCCCAGCCCCCATTGCCACTTTGTGCATGACCCCAATAAGCAGGCACTGGCTTGACTAGGGAAGGAGCTTGACCTACATCCACAAGGTGGGTCTTCTTATCCACTAACTTATTAATACTTCCTTAGTGGGGATATTTTGATAAGTATCCATATGGGGCACAAATACTACCACTTTCTAGGTCTATTCTGAGAAGTTCATCTATACCCTCTTTCTAAAACTCCTTGTCACCAATCCTCTAAGCCCCTGACCAGCTGGCCAAAGGGACACTGCCCATGACTTGGTGTAGAGTCTTTCTCAAGGCAAAGAGAACCACAAGAAGTACAACTCAAAGCTCTGCCTACTGGGAAGATGTCCTTTTGCCACTGTCCTGCAAGACCACTTCCAACTGTAGCTATAACACTTTAGCTGTCCACTTCCAGCTGATACCATCTGTAAACCAAGCTCAAATGTTGGTCTTCTTAGTCATCTGGTCATGGGGAGTTGGATTGTGGATTGAGGAAGCGGTGGCAGTGAAGTGGGAGTAAACACTCAGTGAACTGGGAATTGCACTCCTTCTGTGCTTTCTCCAGGACTGCTCAGGCTTGCTCTTACATACCCCATGTACTCTTCGGGATGGGAATGCTACCGGGTACTTTAGGGCTAAATGGAACAGATACTCCGTTCACGATAAGCAGAACAGGTTACATGGTCAGCTGGTACCCAATGCCAGGCTTTCAATCTTTGCCAGGGCCCAGGAGCAAAGTAAGAATAGTTTCCAAAAAGAATAGTCATTAGCCAAAGAGAGTAAGACTTTGCTCCAAAACCCTAAGTACAACCATAGTGATGCTCCTTTTGGAGCTTGCTATGGACTCTGTACAGCATCCCAGTATGTGGCTGTACACAGAGCATCATTGGGTCCACTGAGTCATAAGAACCAATTAGCAGAAGTCCTTACACTGCAGCCTGGACCTCGTGAAGAACCTTCACTTGCTCTGGGCTGCCCTCAACATTAGCAAGCTTTCAG